AACTTATTTTTTGTTTCAGCCTTCAACCTTTAAGTTCTCTGTTTTTCCTTCTCTTTTAACCAACTGAAAAGCTGAGATCCAAAAACTTCCCAAAGGATAAACCCCATATAGCGTCAGACATTACAACTCTTCTGCTTGTTGGTGGAAAACTATTAATCATAGGGCACCTCAAACACCTGTGCCACATCCAGATCTTGCCATCCTGTCCTCCAGGCAAAGCATTTAGCTTTCTAATATAAATCATGAGACTGCCTTGACAGTGCATATAATAATGGGCATGATCTTCTTGTGGATACTTGCATGAATTGCACCGGTGACTCTGTTTAAATGAAAAGCCATGATCATCCATTATCACTATATTGTGAGTGGGGGCCACATCACGTGAAGACTTTCACGTGGGTGAAGAGAAAAAAAAAACAATGCACAGAGAAAATCTCGTGAAGAGATCAGCATGAAGTACGTGGGGGCCACTCATGCTCTGTTGCCCACAAACTCCACGAACAGCAGAAGCGCGTGAAAGGCTAAGAATCCAGCGGGTAAAAGAGGCCCACCCAAACATGGCCTATAAATACACATTGGATTCTAGGGTTTTAGGTGTGCAAGAGGTTGGGAAAGTTTGTTTTTGGCGGCGGCTTCATGCAAACGAGGGCTTGATGCAGAAAGAGTTTGTGCGGCTGTCTCTCTCTTCGTTGGGCTTTGTGCAAAAGTGGGGGTGCAAGGCAAGCAAGGGCGGCTTTGTGAAAAGAAAGAACTGCGGAAGAAAAAGCGGCGGCTGCAGGCGTGTGCGGCTGGTGCAAAAGAAGAAAAAGTGCAGCGTGCAAAGTATCTTTTTGGTGGTTATTCACAGAGAAAAAATAGAGTCTTTGTGCGGCTGTTCTTTAGTTTTTGCAGTTGTTCTTTGTTTGTGCATGCCTTTGAGAGAGATTTTGTGAGGGATCTGAGAGTTTGTGAGGGTTTAAATTGTGAGATTGTAAACCCTAGTTATATCTCTCCCTCTAATAGTAGATCTCCCGCTCCTTGCCCCGTGGACGTAGGCGATTTGCCGAACCACGTAAAAAATTTGTTTTCTTACCGTGATTTGTAATAGCTTGTAGGATTCCTCGACAGTTCAGTCCTAGAACTGATGAGAGGAAGAGCCGATATCTTACTTTGTTGAGATATCCGTTTCAGATTCTTGTTTCCTTGGTGAGACAAGAATTCTTACGATCTAATCTCTTGTTGTGCACCTTGCGCACCGGTGGTGCTGTCGAAATTTCTGCTGCGCACAACAAGTGGTATCAGAGCTCCGGATTGAACTTGGGAGCTTGTTTGAAGGATTCGCTGAAGGATTCCTATTTGAAGATTAGATCGACAACATGGGTGAAACAAGCACATCGGGATCTTCTCTTACGAAGACGATACATAATTTGAGCATCAATAACATGAAGATTGATGTTCCAAAGTTCGACGGCAAGATTAATTTCGGATTGTGGAGGTGTCAGGTGATGGACGCCTTGGACGCTCAGAATTTGGAGGAGACTCTTGAGTTACAAGAGAAACCTGCCGATATGAAAGCTAAGGTTTGGAAGAAGATGAATAGTAGGGCGTGTGGAGTTATTCGGTCATGCTTGACGCCGGATCTTATTTATGACGTGATGAATGAGACGTCGGCGAAGAAGATGTGGGAAACACTCAATGAAAAGTATCTTACTAAGAGCATTGAGAATCGGTTTCACTTGAAGAAGAGGTTTTACCAGTTCAAGATGAAGAGGGGAGTTTCCATTAGGGAGCATGTTAACAACTTCACAAAGCTACTTTCAGACATGGTTAATGTGGATATCATGGTTGAGGATGAAGACAAGACGATGCTACTTTTGTGTTCGTTACCCGAGGATGATTATGGTTCTTTTGTCCTAACTATGATTAATGGAAGAACTACTGTTAGTTACAAGGAGGTGACCTCAGCGTTAGTGAATTATGAGTTGAGGAAGAGTGTGGATGAGTCCTCCGAGAAGGCATCGGGAGATGCATTAGTAGTTCATGGCCGTGGTTCAAACCGAAACAGGAGGTCGTAGTCTAGAGGTGCACATCGTGGAATTCGTAGGAATCAGTGTGCTTTTTGTAAAGAGGATGGACATTAGAAAGCCGAATGCCCAAAGTTAGATCGAGCCGAGAAGAATAAGGGGAAAGTTGTACAAGCTTCAGAGGTGAATGTTGTCAAGACTAGTGGCAACAATTCAGATTCGGATTCTTCGGGCTATTCGTTGTCTGCACTACCGTCAGTTTGTGTTACAAACTCTACAGAGTGGATGTTGGATTCGGGTACTTCATACCACGTTTACCCTAGGAGGGATTGGTTCTCCAGCTTTCAGAAGTTGGAAAGAGAGGATGTTGTGCTCATGGGTAATGGACATGCATGCTCTATTGGTGGTATTGGTACCGTTCGTATTTGGATGTATGACGAAGTGATTCAAGAGTTGGATGAAATGAGGTTCGTTCCGCAGTTGTCGAAGAACATTATTTCACTAGGAGCTTTGGTGGCATCTGACTATAATGTGACCTTGATGGATGCACGTTTGAAGGTCACATTGGGGTCCATGATTGTGATGAAGGGCGTCAGAAGGAGAAATTTATATTATTTGCTCAGAAGCACGGCGATTGATAGGGAGATGACGACTTCATTAGATTTGGCTAGACTGTGACGTTGTTTGATGCTGGGTTATTTGATTGGTAATGCCGTGCATAGATTGTTGAGGAGTGCTATGACCTGCAGTTTGAAGTCTTGTGAACCCATTAGTATGAGCAAGAAGACCAAGGTGGAGTTAGGCACTTCTATCCATCATTCGATGGGTCTTCTGAGGGGTGTTCATTCAGGCATTCGGGGGCCTTCCAAGGGAGCATCATTAGGAGGTAATAGGTATGTGGTTTTCGTAGTTGGGGATTGTTCTAGGCATTAGTGGGTTACAACCAAGTCCTGTTGGTGTGAAGTCCTAGAAGCCCGCAACAGATGGAGGAAGTGTGTTGGAAAAAAGGTAACCCGGCGTTCTGTTTATGGTAGGGGTTCTTTTTTGCGTTTGTGCCGAGCTCACGGCAATAGGAGATACTTCATTGGTGTGAAAACTTTGAGGTGAAGTGATGAGATGGCAGATTTGGAGAGCTGTTTCTTTCTGGAGGAGGATAGGCATTTAATGTCAAGCATTGGCATTGGTGTGCGGGTTACGACATGTTTAGGCCGTCTCATGTATAGGTTGTTGACTGCTACATGTAGAGATATGGGATCTGGTGGAGCTGCTTCAGGTTTTGGGTTGCGTCGGATGTTTGGCTACCCAGCACTTGGTCACATCGTGGATGTGAGATTGATCCGATAGCACATTTGGGATTCAGAGGCATGTTTGATTATTAGGTATTGGCTTCTGACTTTGTTCTAAGCAGGTATGTCACGTGTGACTCTCGGCAGGTGGAGAGTGATGATCAGATCTTTGGGACATCGCAGCGGGTGGAGAGTGATGCTACTCCACGTTGGGTGGAAACTCCAGATCATACTGCATCATTTGGGATTCCAGCTGATGTGACACAAATTGGGAATTATGTTGATTTGGATGCAGATGATAGGTTGATTGATTCGAGTGCAGCTGGTAGATGTAGTCTGGATATGGCCATTGGCTCATCTCAGATGGAGGTGTTTGGATTGTTTCAGTTTGAGGCCATTGGAGGTGCTATCAGTCGTAGACTTGATCGTGATATTGAAGAAGGGTTGCGAACTCTTCTATTGGATTGAGGTCGTTCGCGGCCATTTGGGTGAACTACGTAAAGGCTTGATTCCTTGGGCAAGAGAATACGTAGGCAGTCTTTACGATGCAGCCGTATTGGATTAGTTGATGGGTGTGAGACCGATTTGGTGAGTAGACACTGTTGTTTTGGGTGAGTGTTCGCACTCCCGTTTGGGTCTCGACTTGTTGTGGATTGAGTCCGTTGTCGTGAAGGGTTTCCACGACGTCCCGGACGCAACAAGTGGGATATTTAATTTGGTTGGTGTCGGCTAAGTTTTGGGAAAACTTCACCGAGGTGGAGAATTGTGAGTGGGGGCCACGGCCACATCACGTGAAGACTTTCACGTGGGTGAAGAGAAAAAAAATTGCGCAGAGAAAATCTCGTGAAGAGATCAGCATGAAGTACGTAGGGGCCACCCATGCTCTGTTGCCCACAAACTCCACGAACAGCAGAAGCGCGTGAAAGTCTAAGAATCCAGCGGGTAAAAGAGGCCCACCCGAATATGGCCTATAAATACACATTGGATTCTAGGGTTTTAGGTGTGCAGGAGGTTGGGAAAGTTTGTTTTTGGCGACGGCTTCGTGCAAACGAGGGCTTGATGCAGAAAGAGTTTGTGCGACTGTCTCTCTCTTCGTTGGGCTTTGTGTAAAAGTGGGGGTGCAAGGCAAGCAAAGGCGGCTTTGTGAAAAGAAAGAACTGCGGAAGAAAAAGCGGCGGCTGCAGGCGTGTGCGGCTGGTGCAAAGGAAGAAAAAGTGCAGCGTGCAGAGTATCTTTTCGGTGGTTATTCACAGAGAAAAAATAAAGTCTTTGTGCGGCTGTTCTTTAGTTTTTGCAGTTCTTTGTTTGTGCATCCCTTTGAGAGAGATTTTGTGAGAGATCTGAGAGTTTGTGAGGGTTTAGATTGTGAGATTGTAAACCCTAGTTGTATCTCTCCCTCTAATAGTAGATCTCCCCCTCCTTGCCCCGTGGACGTAGGCGATTTGCCGAACCACGTAAAAAATTTGTGTTTTTGCCGTGATTTGTAATAGCTTGTAGGATCCCTCGACAGGTCAGTCATAGAACTGATGAGAGGAAGAGTCGATATCTCACTTTGTTGAGATATCCGCTTCAGATTCTTATTTTCTTGGTGAGACAGGAATTCTTACGATCTAATCTCTTGTTGTGCACCTTGCGCACCGGAGGTGCTGCCGAAATTTTCGCTGCGCACAACATATATGAATCAAGGGAAATTAGAGAAAAGTAGGCTAACCTCATCAAATAAATTGTCCCGTAAAAATCTTCCAAGTGGCTTGTCAAATGCGCCATAATAATTGATGCGAAAATGATGTGGATGCTCACAAACAGTTCCTTTCCGAATACATCTTAAAGACTTGAGCACAATAATGCTTTCACCACCATAATTGGAAAATTCTTCCTTTGATAATTCTTGGCCGTCTCTTTCGCAGGTTTCTTGATGTGAGATCTCCACACCGGAGGAACCAACTTGCTTTTTGTATGCTTGTATATCATCAGCCTCGCATCTGTCTCCTTGCTTTATGCACTCAGAAGTTTCTTCAACTGTTTGATCATTATATCTAACAGATTCAGACTCAAGATCTTCTAAAATATGTATATTCCTTTTATCTTCTTTGGCGCAAGATGAAGAGTAAAAAGTTGATGCAGCAGAAGCAGCCATACTTTGCTGTTCATAGGAAGCTTGTTCACTCTGATCCACTGTGAGTTTCAATGGACGTTCAGGTAGAGAAGCTTCTTGATCTTCAAGGAAAGATGCTTCCAGAGCCAAGTGATAAGCTGCAAAGACTCCATATTGGACAACATCTTTAACTTTCTTCAGCTCATTGAGCCTACCACCCTTGAGCAATATCTAGAAGAAATATAAAAAAAACAATAGACTAATTTTAATCATAGTTGCACTTTATGATGATATTTTACAAGTGCCATGTAACATTATGATGGACAAGGAAAAAATTCAACACAATAAAAACATAGTTCTTAAATATTCTAGTAAGTTAGGACAGCAAGGGATAAAGCTTTGAAGAAAATTGAAACATACCCTAAGCAAAGCCAGCTAGATCATATTACATTTGATGTGGAGAAAAAAAGCAAGTAAAGACCTAGCGGAAGAAGAAAACACTTCAAAATATTCAAAAGGACATGTAACAAGCACAGCATTCTAAACTTTAACACCACCTTACTATCTCTGTAAACAAAACTGTTGACATATTAGTATAGTTAAGGGGCTTATATGTAAGATGTGTTTTGTAGGGCTTATATAAGTCCATGTTATCTTATCAATGAGATTAAGGTTTCAATTCAACTTGGTATCAGAGCAAAACCCTAGCCGCCAAAACCCCACGCCCCCCTTCGCCTCCCCCCCCCTCTTCCGGATCCGCCCCACTCTGCAGATCCCCAACCCTTCGGCTGCCTGCAGACCCCCCCACCAAACCTGAAGACCCCCCTTCCGCCATCCCGCCTCTTCCGGATCCCCCCACCTGCCAGAACCCGCGCCCCTTCGACCTCCTGCCAGACCCCCCAACCTACAGACCCGCCCCAATCCGCCAGACCCCCACAACCAGCCCCCACCCACCTGGCAGACCCATTCCCTATCCTGCCGACCCCCTGTTCTGAGATCATCCCCCTTTGTTCCTGTTCCTGTTCTGAGATACATCCCCCCCTCCCCTCGTTCGCGAGACCAGCCCCCCTCTGTTGCCGAGATGCACCCCCCGATCAGCCCCAACCGGTCACCCTGCCGCAGTCAGCCGCTGTCCATAACAGCCCACGATCACCCCTGTACACAACCCCCTACCCTCTCTGTTTTTTGGCTGTCGTGACCCTCCCCGCCCCCATTTGGCCGGGGAATTCGGGGGGGGGCGAATCCCCGCCCCTCTCCTTGCTGCGCTATGCCGGACCTAGAGTTTTGGCATGGGTTCCCATCGACTCAGTCTCAAAGCTAATGACAGGAAGAGTATATATCTCACGGCGATGAGATATATCACTGTTTTTTATTCTTGTTTCCTCTGAGAAACAAGAATTTGTCTGAGATCTTACTCTTGTTATGCGGCAGAGGTGCTGCCGAAATTTTCACTGCACACAACAAGGGTCGGAAGAGAATGTGACCAGGTGTTGGGTCTAAAGCTTGATCAATGGAGGAGATTATCAAGAAGTTGAACCCCGCGGAGGTGTCAACTTTGATGAAGCTGATGAAGTTATCGGCTGGTGAGAGCGCGACAAAACCATCCAAGAAGTTGGAACTTCCTACCATAGATCTGAAGCTTGATGGATCAGGTACTTACCTGAGCTGGTCACGGCGGGTGAGATACACCCTTGCAGGGAGGAACCTGGAGGGTTATCTGACAGGAAAGGTGACAGAGCCGGATGAGAAATCGGAGGGAAGAGATGAGTGGAAGGCCACTCATATGTTGGTATACATCTGGCTTCTCAACTCGTTGGTCCAGTTGATCGCCGCCACAGTGGATGGCATTGAGAAGGTGAAGGACGTCTGGAAAAAGTTGAGGAGGACCTATGATGGAGTGGGGAATAACCTGAGGGTGTTCCAGATTAAGGGTGAGATCAACGCCACAGTCCAGGGAAATAGGACTGTACAGGAGTATGCCACAGAGCTGGAGTGGCTGTGGCTAGATTATGATCACTTCTCACCTCGGGCGAGCTGCAAGGATCCGGGATGTAAAGAACGGGAGGCCTTTCTACAGGAGAGGACTATGGTGTTTCTCAAAGGATTGACATCAGAGTTCGCTCAGCGAATCGCCCTGCTGCTAGCTCAGCCGAAGCTGCTATGATCTAGGAGGAGACTCGCATTAGGCTGCAGGCGGGGACATGCGGACTTCCTGTGGTGAAGTCAGCACTGGCAGCCTCTAGCAACACTGGACCTAGGGGAGAGACTCGACAATGCTATAACTGCGGTGCGATGGGTCATCTAAGACATGCTTGCACCAAGCCACCCAAGGAAGGAGATTCGGGTGGACGTGGACAGTTCGGAGGTCGTGGTCGTGGCCGTGGGGGTTGATGAGGTGGAAGAGGAGCAGGGAACCGGACGAATCTGACGGTAGCAGAGGAAGAAGAAGCTGAGGTGGTCTTTACTGAGGAAGATCGTGCTCTCCTGGCGATACTCAGGAGGAAGCAGCAAGTAGCAGGGGATGGGACTGAGGAGGCATCCACTTCATTCTTCGCCAGAGGCAACACTGCTACCTATGCTCATCCGACCAAAGGTACTGATGACATACATGCTCTTGCTTCTATGTCTCCCGACAGATCATCAGCATGGATAGTCGACTCCGGTGCGTCTCGTCATGTGACAGGTAATGCTAGTGAGTTCTCATCATATACTCACTTAGCATCGCCTGATAGTATTCAAACAGCTGATGGTACATTTCAGCCAGTGGTTGGTAAGAGTACAGTCGATTGTACTGGTTCTGTAACTTTGTCCAATGTTTTGCATGCTCCTTTCTTTCCAGTCAATTTTTTATCCATTAGTTCTATCATACTCCAACTAAAATGCATTGTTTTTTTTGATATTCCCAAAGAGATTTTTCAGGAGAAGGGGACAGGGCGAAGACTTGGGACTGGCACATGGCGTAGTGGACTGTGGTATCTGGATCGTGAAGGGATGGATTCAGCATTGGTGTCAGTCATAGAGGAAGCAGGAGTAGGATCTAATATGAGTGCTGAAAATGAGTTAATACTTCATCACCAGCGTTTAGGACACTCATCCTTTAGTGTTTTAGGTAGATTGTATCCTTCTTTATTTGAGAAAGCAAATAAACAGAAACTTGTGTATGATGCATGTGAGTTTGGAAAGCTTACTAGAAGCTCTTATGTTAGTTCTAGTCATAGAAGTTCTCATGCATTTGACTTGGTACATTCAGATGTTTGGGGGCCTTATTCCACAAGTTCTATGAATGGATACAAGTATTTTGTTATATTTATTGATTGCTTCTCTCGTGTTACTTGGTTATACCTGATGAAGAATAAGAGTGATGTGTTTGGGTGCTTCCAAAACTTTCATAGGACTGTTCAGACTCAATACGGAGCAGTGGTGAAAGTATTGAGGTCAGATAATGGGACAGAGTATACCAACAGAGCGTTTGAAGAATATTTGTCAGCTCAGGGAATACATCACCAGACAACCTGTCCATACACACCAGCTCAAAATGGGGTAGCGGAAAGGAAGAACAGACATCTTTTAGAGGTTGCTAGAAGCATGATGATCTCTATGAATGTCCCAGAAACATTATGGGGGCAAGCAGTATTGCCTGTAGCAGCACTGATCAACAAAATGCCCTCGAGAGTACTGGATTGGAAGTCCCTGTGTGAGACGTTGAAGGGAGATAATGGTGGGATTCTTCCACTTAAAGTGTTTGGCTGTGTGTGCTTTGTGAAGGACAACAGGCCATCTGTCGGGAAGCTTGCCCCTAGAGCTGTGAAGTGTATCTTTGTGGGATATTCTGCTACTCAGAAGGGATATGTTTGCTGGAGCCCGGTGAAAAAAAGGTTGTTTGTGAGCATGGATGTGCACTTTCGAGAACTCGAGCCATATTACACCCAGAAGGTAACTTCATCCGTTGGTAACTCGCCCAATACTAGAAGTATGAGGCGAGAGGAGGAGAATGGTGAGAGATCGGTGAACAATGTGGAGAAATCCATTTCTGTATCGATTCCTTGGGAGAGAGAATTGGTTGAGGAGGAGCAGGAGAATGACGAAGAAAAGGAAAATAAGACAAGAGGTGTTAGGCCCACTGTTCAGGGGGGGGCTACTAACCTATAGTAGGAAAGGCAAGCAAATTGCAGGAACAGTACCTACAGTGCCACTAGTGCTGCCAAGTCTCTTGCCGACTCCTGCCCCGACTCCTGAGACACCTACACTACCACCAGTTTCATCCCAAGGTGATAACATTCCTCTCCCTACTCCTCCCACACCAATATCAGTACGGAGAACTACTCGTAGTAATGCGGAAAATCCTCCCAATAGATATGGATGGGATCTTGCCCAGTTTGTATCATATTCTAACATTCATCCTGCACATGGAGCATTCATTGCATCATTGGACTCTGTTACTGTACCTAACAATTGGCAGGTTGCTAAGAAGGATCCAAAATGGAAAACGACTATGCACGAAGAGCTAGGGGCTCTTGAGAAGAACCACACTTGGGAGTTAGTAAAACTACCAAAAGGAAATAGAGCAGTTGGATGCAAGTGGGTCTTCACTGTGAAGCAGAATCCAGATGGACAGGTTGAGCGTTATAAGGCTCGTCTTGTGGCAAAAGGGTATAGTCAGACGTATGGAATCGATTATGATGAGACTTTTGCACCGGTAGCGAAAATAAGCACTGTTCGGACCTTGATCTCTCTGGCAGTAAATGGTGGATGGAAGCTACACCAACTAGATGTGAAGAATGCATTCCTTCATGAAGATCTGATGGAAGAGGTATACATGGAAATACCACCAGGATTCGACACAGATCAGACAGTGGGCAAAGTTTCAAATTGAAGAAGTCTCTCTATGGCCTGAAGCAATCTCCCCGTGCTTGGTTCGACAGATTCAGGCGGGCTATGATAGGTATGGGATACCAGCAGATTAACGCTAATCATACCGTGTTCTTTCGACGGAGTGAAGGTCACATCACCATGCTTGCAGTATAAGTGGATAATATGATTATTACAGGGGATGATGAGAAGGAGATTGCCCAACTCAAAGTAAGACTGGGTAAGGAATTCGAGGTAAAAGATCTTGGCTTGCTTCGATACTTTCTTGGAATAGAGATAGCTCGAGGAGCGGAGGGGATTGTCCTATCCCAGAGAAAGTATGCACTGGATCTTCTCAAAGAGACAGGGATGTTAGGGTGTAAACCTGCAACTACACCGATCGACCAGAAGTTCAAGCTAGGTGCTAAAGCTGGAGAACCAGTTGATCGTGACAGATACCAAAGGCTGGTGGGCAGGTTAATCTATCTGAGTCACACACGTCCCGATATCTCTTTTGCAGTAAGCGTGGTGAGCCGCTACATGCATGATCCAAGGAAGGGTCATATGGACTCTGTGTACCAGATTCTGAGATATTTAAAGAGTGCCCCCGGAAAAGGGCTGATATTCAGAAAGAATGGACATGTGAGCATTGATGGTTACTGCGACTCTGATTGGGCTAGTTGTGCTGATGACAGGAGGTCCACCTCAGGATATTGCATCTTTATAGGAGGCAACTTGGTCTCGTGGAAGAGCAAGAAGCAGTCAGTGGTGGCGAGATCAACAGCTGAAGCAGAGTATAGAGCTATGGCCTTAGGAGTTACAGAGTTGTTGTGGTTGAAGAGTATGCTGGTGGAACTGAAGCTGGATCAAGGAGCCAAGATGAAGCTGTGGTGTGATAACAAGTCAGCCATCAGTATCGCCAACAACCCAGTGCAGCATGATAGAACCAAACACATCGAGATCGATAGGTTCTTCATCAAAGAGAAGTTGGACAATGGACTACTGGAGTTAAGTCATATTCCAACTAAGGATCAAGCAGCAGATTGTCTGACTAAGGGACTTAGCTCAGTAGATATGATTAGAGGATGTGACAAGATGGGCTTAGTGGATATCTTTCGCCCATCTTGAGGAGGAGTGTTGACATATTAGTATAGTTAAGGGGCTTATATGTAAGATGTGTTTTGTAGGGCTTATATAAGCCCATGTTATCTTATCAATGAGATTAGGGTTTCAATTCAACTAAAACAGGACACAAGAAGATGAGCAGGTCAATGTAAACAATGTTGTTGATGTACTGGGGTAGCTATACTATTACTAAGAATGACATGATTCATGAAAGTACAAGTCAAAAACAAAAAGACGTAATAAATGAGAACAAGCATCAAATATTAAAAAGTTCAGAAGGCTTACAGTACAACCCAGTGGCTTCGGGCACCCTTCAAAAAACATCAGTGTCTTTATCAGTTTCTTCTCATCCTGACCAGCCCTCTCATGCTCTTCAACATACTTCTCCACGTGAAACAAATCACAGTACCCCAGACTTTGAGATGAAAGATGGTCAATTGAAGGAACTATTTGAGCACCAGTGCAGACGGCTATATGCTCTAAAGTTGGCCTTCTAATATTCATAACAAATGAAATGTCTTTTACGAGGAGGTATTCTTGTGCAGAACGAGGTACTGATTTCTCTACCAGTAACACATTGGGGTGGTCAGCATCTATTTTCTCAACCGCCATCTTCAAACAATCCTCCTAAAGCAAAAACAAAAAAGTCATATTGGGCGTGTCTGGATGCGTGGGGGTGGAGGGTGGTGGGGAGAGAGGCTATAATAGTCCTAGAACATAAGTAACTCAGTCATACCCACTAATAAACATGTATACAACAAAATTCGACTATCCACTCTGTTTAAGTTGATGTACGTTTCTCAATAGGTTTGTCAATGAAGAATATTATGTGTTGAGAATACATAATTAATGCATCAAGTGGTTGCAAAATGTAATGGTTTATTACATTCATCACGATCCTCATATTTTTGAACATTTGTGAACAAAAAATGCTTGATGTTTCAGACTTCCGATCATTGCTTCACGTTGTTTTTCAGTCTAAACCACTTGTTAGATGAGCAATTAGAAAATATGCCTTTTTTTGGTGTGCGGACCACTCAAATCAAATAGATCAAGATGAACAGAGTTAATTGTTATAATTGATGGCATGAAATGTAGTTTTGGAGATGGGCAAAAGTAAACTGGTTATGCTCTATGAATATAAAGCCACTCCCTAACTCCATAGATATAAACGTACATATACATAAATAAATATGTATGTACGTACTACATACATACATAATGTACATACATACATAACGTACGTACGTATGTACAAGTACATAAAAACTGCATACAAGTACGTATGTATGTACATATAGTAATGAGTATATGAGTTGGCAGCTCATTTTGCTCACTAAGTTATTAAGAGATGGGGCTAGTGTAAGTCCTACCCTATTAGTCAAATTGGAGCAGGTGGATCTCACCACTACCTCTTACTAGCTCATCTTGCTAAATGAGCAACCAAGAGATAGACTAGTGTTTAGACCATCCTGCTAGTCACATTGGAGGAAATAGATCTCATCACTCTCATCTCTTTGTAGCTATATGAGGTTGCAACTCTTATTCAGTGTTCCCACGTACATATACACATAATCATGTTCCTCTCTCCCTCTAAGATTCCATTATAAAAAAAAGAATAAAACAATAGATCAACGTACTTCCTGGGAGAATGTATAGAAACTTGACAGCTCGTGCTGATACTCAAAAGCTCCTCCAAGGATTACGATACGAGGTTTCTCAATTTTCAATGACATGTGATGATGAGAAACATTTTTCTTGCAAACAATTCCTTTAGCCACCTTGCTAGAAAACAAACGAAAAGGCTCTATCAGAAATTCATATTTCTCATGATAAGCAAATTTTCAATCAATAAATATGAATGACAGAGCAATCACCAAATATCAGGGCATTTCTCAACAGAAATGAAAGTCAGCAATTACAAAAAGTACAAGGGTTTTCAACAATAAGTTATTTACCTTTCGCAACGACGACCAGAGGCTATGCATTTAACCTTCACAACTCACCAGGATACATTCCTCCTCCTTCACCAGTATCTGGTTTAAGAAGAGTTGCTGCTTCCCAAGACAAAGATGTGATTATTTCAAGCCAGCTATCTTTATTATTTTCTTCACCTGTGGTTAAATTTTCCTCCTGAATATGCTGAGCTATCAAAGACCTTAAGTGCCCATCCACTACATGTTTGATTGCCTTCTTGTGCTCTTCACCAGGCAGATCTCTGGTCCTGTTTTTCCCTGTAGCATCCTCATCATCACCATTATCAAAAAGAGTATCTTCTCTCTCATCTTGAGGCTCAGGAGGAAACCAAAGTTGTTGATAATTTTCAAGATCTACAGGCCCTATGTCCAAACTTCTCATCTTATCATCATAAAAAGAAATATTGAATCCTGTGTTATCAGGAACAAAATAACATATACTTTTAGCATCTTCATTTTCATCAGCATGATAAGCTTTATTTGATGGGCAACTCTGGTCAAGTTGATGAAAGTCACCTCGATAAACATTATTTGATCGGCCGCACTCACCATCATCACCATCCCTTCTGGAATCAAAGATGAGTGAAGTCTCAACAATACGAACAAACTGAAAATATAAAAAACTAATATATATTGTATAGACGCCTAGACGATGCAAGAGATTCTAAACCCTGATAATGACACATCCTTATAGAATTTATAACAGATTCCATTGATTTATTGAGATACACTTCAACAGCCATAGACAAAATCAAGCATAAAAGACCAAAAAAAAAAGGAAAACAAAAGTTAAAACATTAGCAAGAAGTTACAAATGCAAGCCGGATTAACATCAAAGTGAGAGCAAAAAAGAAAAAAACACAACGATTTAAGCGATTGTGACTCACAAGGTGTGACACTTTAAGGTAATGAATGTGAGGAACCCTTATCCCAGTGTAAAGCTGAGTACGCATCCGTGAATATGTTGATCAGTTAACCAACTTGTTAGATTATACAGAGGATATATTCCTTTCTAACTTGTTGATAATGCATAAGACCTTTAGGATAATTGTTACATGAATGCACCCAAAAACTTCAAAACCAGCTAAGTTATATTATAGTCAAGCAACCACACAAAGTTCAATGACCAACAGTGTTTTCTCAATATTGATAACTGTCTATAGCTTTCTGAAAAGAATAGAGGCAATAAAAATGTTGATAAAATTATAATCCTCAACATGTTCATTTATATGACATATATGGATTAGTCACATACATCTTCAAACATGTCAACTGTAATGTAATAACAGATTCTTCACCAGACGAAATAGTTTAAGAGAGAAGGGAGGAAAAACAAAGCATCAATAACATTGAGAAATAAGCAGAGTAAGAAGTTACTATCAGAGAAAATAATCAATGGTGCAGAGGAATAAAAGAAAGCACAGAGATCGAGTAAAAAATTAATGAAGATGAAAAAGTGCCAACCAACTAAGTAATAAGCGTATATATCTGCAACTAGATGTTCATAACTGAGTTCCAAGGAAATTTAACATATACGAACATAACTCACATTCCCAATAGGAGAGGATGTGGGTGAACTTAACTTCCAAGGAAATTTAACATATACGAACATAACTCACATTCCCAATAGGAGAGGATGTGGGTGAACTTAACAAAATAAATAAGCACGCCCTTATTTGCTAAACTCACATTCCCAATAGGAGAGGATGTGGGTGAACTTAACAAAATAAATAAGCACGCCCTTATTTGCTAGCAAATGTCCTTAACATGCATAGGGAGGCCATTCGTACATATATGCATTCACACTAATAAATAGGAAAAGTCAAGGTCAGACTTAACAAAATAATAAGGATATGCATATCTGCTACCAGATGTTCTTAATTAAATGCATATTAAATCACAAGCATACATATGTATTCAGATCTGTTAGCATACATATTCATGTAAATTCCAATTCGATTGCAACCTTATGCATGGATGCATGTGCATATATATGGATGCATGAAAGTATGCACGAACATAAACATGCTTGGTTTCATGTATGCACATACATATGTGTGTGCTCATATATGCATAATTTCATATATGTGAGTGTGCTTGCGTGTATCCTTCCATGTACGTATTAGTAGGTGGGCAAAAGTTCAATGGAGGTCCCTCATATATTGCCCAAAAATCATCCAAGTTTTTAAAGTCTGGAAGTCATCGATGGAAGTCCTAAAGTTACCCGTCATCGGTCTAGGTCCTTTTTAAAATTTTCTGGTAAATATTGCTGACGTGTCAGTAATGTGGCAGGAAAAACTTATAATTTCACTATTTTTGCTGACTGGACACCCACCTCTTTCTTTTTGCTGATGATTTGGAGGAAAGTAAAGAGATGTTTCTCGTCTGCTTAGCAAGCAAAGAGAGGGAGGGCGTCTAGTCAGAAAATAGTGAAATTACAAATTTGTTTTGTCATGTCACTAGAACGTCTTCAAGATTTAATGAAAGTTTGTGAAAAGGACCTAGGCTGAGGATAGATGTAACATCAGGGACTTCCACTCTAAACTTAAAGGACCCAGATGACACTTGGTCAATGCACGAGGGACTTCTGCTGATGTTTTGCCTTGCATGTATATATGTATTTCTATGTATGTATGTATGTATATATCAAGCATCATGATAAACAGTAGGTCTGTTAGCATACCTGTGCATGGACCCAGCATTCTTTGCACTGCTATTACCAGTGTTTGAAGGAGAAGGCCTAAGATCTACCCCAGATAAATTTACACTTTCTGATGCTGCAAGATCTAGCTTCCATTGCTTAAAGCAATAGTTGCAAACACGAACTTTGTCCCCTGCTCCCCCAATTCTTTGTATAATCAAATGAAACAGGGATGGAATTTGAAGTGCACTTGGCACAAAATACACGACCACATAGACGACAGTGGTGCCTACGATTGAACACAGTGAACTGTGAATCACATTCATAACGTACCCTACACATTTCATCTGGCACCCAAAGGTCTCTCGATTTCAGTTTGCTAACAAGGTCTGCAGACCTCTTATCGGACGGTTCCATTAGCCGAAGGCTCACTCTCGCAGAACTAAAACCCTAATTTATGAGCCACAATTTGGGATACCAAAGAAACCCCTCTATTAAATCAAGACAACTCCTTGTAACTGTGAAATTGTCTGAAGTTTGTAGAGCTAACAATTAAGGAGAAAAAATTGCAAAAACTATTAACTCCCCCAATCAAGATGACTAGTCTTTCAGGCCACTAGAAGAAACACCGCGAGTTACCCACTAAATCCCTGGACTTCAATGTTTGGACCAAGAAAGAAATTAGGGTTTAGTTTCAGAGAAGCACGGAGAAGTCAAAGCAAGCCTACAAACAAAAAATTACCTCATTGCAGTCAGTTTGAATTTCATTCGATAATTTCAAATTATAACATGATAATTGCTTTAAAAAATAGAGAAAAAAAGTGGAGAATTTGAACCTGCTGAGCTATACACTATCCGTTCTGTTAGCTTCTCATACGGAGAAGAAAGAGAGCGTTGGAATTTATAGAACTGGTTTTCTCACATTAGATCCTCAAGTTTGAAATTAATAGCTAAAGGGTCATACTTTCAAGTTTCAATTTACGTCTCAAAATCTTTTCAGTTGTTCTAAAATTACGCACCTTATTAGTTCCAACTACAGTTTTAGAGCAATTTCATTAAAATTTAAATTTGTACAATTCGACTATTTTGGCCTTAAGATGGGATGGCAATCCTAAAAGTTAATTTACCCTTTTTCTTTCTTTCTCTTTTTTCGCTAGATTCATTGGCCTAGAAATATTCATTCAATTTCTAGTTCTTCACTCCAATTTCACACATAAACTATATTTATTTGTGCTTGCTGAAAGAATTATTTTCTCCTGTAAGCATGTTTTTTACCAAATGGAATCTTTGGCGCGAGGACGTTAAGTAATATCTTATATTAATTCAACCTTAATCAGAACTATTACAGATTGAAGGAATTAAGCTGACTAAGTGGATTAAGTTAAAACAATTAAAAGGATATGAGGGTGTAAGCTAAAATAGTAAGATCTTGGAATCAAATACTAAAATATGAGACGTTAGGGTCCAATATGAAAACAAACCATTTATAAATAGGGGTGGTAAACGATCGAATCGAATCGAATACTAAAGTGTTCGTATTTGTATTTGTTTAAAATTATCGAATTCGAATGCATACTCTAATATTCATATATCTAGTTTTTCGAATTCGAACTCGAATACTTGGTATTTGATAAATATTCATGAATATTCACGAATACTTATCGAATATCAAAGTATATTTATTCTGCTAAAGAATTTGATTTTCAAATAGTATTAAAATTCATAAATAAAATTATTTCTTTATAATATATGATGTATATATATTTAAATTAATATTTTAATTAGAAAATAGATTTAAGATTATTTGAATCTTAAAATCAATGTATAAAACTTAAGTAGAAATGGTAAGTGGGTTAAAAATATAACATCATATGTGCAATAATACAAATAATTAGTTGCGATCAAATTTTAAACGAATATTTAATAAACAAACGAATCGAATATGCATCTGGTTAAATTCTATTTGTTAGTAAACTCGAATACTAAAAAATATTTGTTTAGCGGTAAATGAACTACCGAATCGAATATGACCGAATAGTTATTCGAATAATTATCGAACTATTTGTTAATTATTTGGTTCATTTCCACCCCTATTTATAAATACTTGCCTCGTGCACATTGACATTTAAAAAAGCCACCATTGGCCCAAATGAAATAAAAAAAGACTTGCGTTCTACGCACTCAGTGACGTCAAGTGCGAGGTGGGAGTTTTTAGTATACTAGTTATTGTGTATGTGCGATGCACGTATTTTTTTTTCTTATTATAAAATAAGTCGGATTCATTTTGAGTTAAAATCTATATACATGTATTATTACATTTGTTATAAATTTTATTTAAACATTTTTAAAAATTTTATGAAATAGATGAGTAATTTTTAAAATCCCTGGGGGGTAGGAATAAACAACTAACAAGTTTGTAGTAGAAAATAGGGGAACGTAGTACATCCTTAAGAATTATTAATTTTTACCTAGTTTGTTTATAATGATAGGATCTCATTATTAACTAACTACAAGGCTTAAATACATTTTTTGTTGGACGTTCAAGGTAAGGTGAGGACCAATATGAGCCTTCATCACAATGAATGTTATACAATTTAAGTACAAAGAAAAAAAATGTTGATCAATAGTGTAGCTGGTGAGAAGAATCTCCAACAGCTTAATTTGGTATGTGGATTTATAATTGATAGAGATGGAGAATTGTGGTTTTGAAAATAGTGGGGGTGTGTGGGTAATTAATATGGTTTTTGTTAGTGTGGTTTTCTTTGTTCATTTTCAAGGTATCTGTGGTCTTGTGGATATATATAGCTATAACATTAATACTCTCTTTTGGTTTTGTAGAAGAGTTTGGGTGTTAAAAAATTAAATTATCTAATACGGTTAAAGTAGGATTATATAAGTTAAGCACATACATGAAATTTGTTTTAACCAACATCCATGTGTAAATAGTACAACTGGCATTAAGATTTAAGATATGTGAGAAATTCTCTTTGATTTTATACAAACAATATCTATTTAAATAATAATAGTATAATTAAACTATGCGATTTGAAAAAAAAAGATCAAACATACAATATAAGTAATTGCTTTAAAATAATCTAATCTAATCTAATAAGAAGAAAATAGATAAAAATAATGTAAAAATGGTTGCAATTTCATAATTCATAAATTTTAAATAAACTAATCAAATTTAATCAGAAGAAAATAACAAAGGCACATACCTCTTGAAGGAGATGAAAGTGCTATAAAAATTATTATAATTTTTTATCTAAAAATGATCAAATATATGTTGCGCGCAGCGAAAATTTCGTCAGTACTTCGACAGCACCTCGACACAACAGGAGAATCAAGTCGTAATAGAAAATCTTGTTTCACAAAGGAAACAAGAACCTTAAGCAAAATATCACAACCAAGTGAGATATCAGCTCTTCCTCTCATCAATTCTAGGACTGACCTGTCGAGAGAACCTAAAAGCTATTATAAATCACACAAATAGCGAGACAAACTAATTTTACGTGGTTCGACAAATAGCCTACGTCCACGGGGCAAGGAGGGGGGAGATCTAATATTTGAGAAAAGAGAATACAAATTGGGTTTACAATCTCACAAATTAAACCCTCACACAAACTCTCAGATCTCACACAAACGGGATGCCAAAACCCTCTCAAAATCGGCGCTTTTCTTCACCAAGCACAACCACTTTTCTCCTCTATATTTGCTCCCAGCCGAAAAGTACTTGCACCTCTCCCGCAGCCGCAAAAAATATTCCCTGCACAAAAAACCCTAGGCAATATTCGGTGTGCATTTATAAGCACGAACAAAAATTGATCTTGGGTGGGCCTTCGTGGGCCTTCGTTCACGCGTCAATCTTCGCGGCTTGTTCTGGCTCAATTTTTGAACGTGGGTGGCCCCTACTTGAGACTCCTTCGTTCACAATTCTCCACCTCGGCGAAGTTTTTCCCAAAACTGAGCCGACACTAAAATAACCAAATGTCACACTTGTTGTGTCCAGTACGCCGTGAAACAATTCACGACAACGGACTAAATCCACAACAAGTCGGGAACTCAAACAAGAGCCCAAACAATCTCACCCCCATCAAAATCAACTAATCCAAAATTGGCTACATCGTAAAGACTGCCTACGTATCCTCTTGCCCAAGGAATCAAGTCTCACGTAGTTCACCCAAATGGCCGCCAATGGCCTCAACAATCACGAATGTGCAACAAGTTTCGACAATGATCAAACTTGTTGTTCGGAACCACCTTAGTGAGCATATCCGTCGGATTATCCTTCGTGTGGACTTTCACTATCTCCACATCTCCATCTTCAAGAACATCTCGAACGAAGTGATAACGAACATCAATGTGCTTCGTCCTCGCATGAAAAAACCTAATTCTTTACCAAATAGATAGCACTCATGCTATCATAATGAATAGTGATGGACCGCTGCGATATACCAAGTTCCTCCAAAAGTCCTCGAAGCCAAATAGCCTCATTCACAACCTCCGTAACTACCATATACTCTGCTTCCGTCGTAGACAAAGTCACTATCGACTGTAAGGTACATCTCCAACATACCGAAGCACAGGTCAAAGTAAACACATACCCCGTAGTAGACCAACGCTTATCCAAATCCCCGGCATAATTCGAATCAACATAACCAATGCATAACTACCAATCTGTAGTGTCCCGCTCATAAACCAAACCAACATTGAGTGTACCTCTAGTGTACCTCAAAATTCATCTCACGGCGTCCCAATGACCCACTCCTGGATCGTGCATGTATCTCGAAATCATGTTCACCGCATGTGACAAATCCGGCCTCGTACATACCATCGCATACATCAAGCTCCCAACCGCGCTCGCATATGGAGTCTTCGACATCAACTCTCGATTTTCAACTTTCTTCAGTGAAAGATCAGCTGAAAGTTTCAAATGGGCTCCCAAAGGTATACTAACTAGCTTCGTATCCATGCTAACATGAAATCGCTGTAGAACCTTCTTCAAATAAGCCACATGTGTCAAACAAATTTTTCCCTTCTGTAGGCATATAAAATTGCTTATAGGTCCCCTAGCATAGCTCGGCACAAACCGACGAACCAACGAGGCGACGAGATCGACGAATCGCACGCAAGCGACGGAATGCACCCATACGCGTTCGGAATCAAGCCAAGTGTTAAAGAGTCAACGAGTCATCCAACCAAGGGCATACTCGGACGAATCACGATCGAATCAAGATCAGTTTCGGACTCGAACTCAGAAGCGGATTTACTGCCAAATCAGGAATCCGACTTACTGCCAAATCAGATCAACAGCAGAACTGAATCACAGATAGAACGACAAGAGCGGAAAACGACGGAACAACACACACGCGGAGGGGCTGGCCTCAAACCGAGCCACCTCAAGGTGGCTCGGGCCAAGCCGAGCCACCTTGAGGTGGCTCGGTGGCCGATGCCACCCAGGGTGGCTCGCGCCAAGGCGAGCCACCTCAGGGTGGCTCGGCGCCGATCGCCACCCCTGGGTGGCCGACCACCTCAGGGTGGCTCGACATGAGCGCGACCACCTTGAGGTGGCCGACGGCTTGACTTTGCCACACGTGCACACGGGGCACGGGCACAAGTGCGAGAGCCTATAAATAGGCCAAGGGAGTCTCAACTGTCAGAAGGTGGAAATTTTGGAGGCGAAGCTCTGCCGGATTCAAGACTCGAAACTTAAAAAAGATTGGAGCTTTGGGACTTCGGGGACTCACTCTTCCAGATCTGGTGCTCAGCGATCGTCAACGCCAAAAAAGGCAGGTGTTCGAGAGGACCGGATCTCAGATCTACGCAGACGTACTCCGGATCTAAGCTTGGTCTTAGATCCCGAGACTTGGACGATTGTTTCCTTGGTG